GAGAGGTCTTTCGCCCCCACTGTTTCCCTCGGAAGGCTGTTCCAGAACTTCACCCCTCTGATGGTTAGAAACCTTCGTCTAATTTCAAGCCTAAACTTCCCGACGGCCAGTTTATATCATTTGTTCTCGTGTCCACATTAGTGCTGAGCTGAAATAATTCCTCTCCCTCCCTGGTATTTATCCCTCTGATATATTTAAAGAGAGCAATATATCAGAGTCAATGATGCAGTATAATGAGATTATGGCAATATGTCTGTCATTGATTGGGAATCAAAATAGTGCTTTATAATATAGAGATTTATCCAATAGGGAGAAGTTTTACTAAGCAATAGATAACTGATATTATATCAGACACATAAAGCAATAATCTGTCCCACATGCTTAACACCCTTTTGAGCTTTGCATGATCTGGCATTTGCTGAGTTAATATATTGGGAAATTACTGTTGCTGCATTATTTATAGAGGGTGTGGGCATTTCACAATACAGTTAGGTTTGAATTCCAACCTCATTCTAAACCCACTTTATCAGTTGTTTATAACTTTTGGAATGACATTTTTCCATATTTAGTCTTTAAACGAAATATGTGAGTCTTTGGACAGTGTTGCGGGTGCAGAAGGGAGAAAGAGCTTTTAGCTAAAGCAAATCAGCCTTTTTTGAATTATTCTAGCATGAGAAGTGTTTTTCCTCCATTCTGATTAGAAACTTGGTAATTTGAAACAATTAAAAGTACAAATAACTAACCTGACTTGTGGCCTGCTTTTACAATCCTTCACTCACGAGCAGTCTCAGTGACTTCAGTGGGATTACTCATCTGTAAGAATTTACACAATCGAGACTTTGTGATGTAGTTCTCAGTACAATTTAAGGTGCAAGTCAAGTTTGAAACGAATTGGTTCAGCAGGTTTCAAACGCTGAATATTTAAAATTGACACGTATCTTGAACTGAGACAATCTTAAGAACTGCCGATCATATCCTCAGCTGGTGTAACTCAACACAGTTCCATTATTATTTTATTGCAACAGCACCTCAGAAGCCCAGTCATGGACTCAGTAGGCCATTGTGCTAGGCGCTGTACAAACACAGAACAAAAAGATGGTCCCTTCCCCAAAGAGTTTACACTCCTTGTTACTACAGCAATTTACACCAGCTCATGATCGGGCCCTGGAAATTTCTGGATGAGTCAGAGAGACCCCAAAATCTGGCATGACTAGGAAGGCTTGGCTAAGCGTGTGACTGGTTTATGGAGGCGTCAAGCCAAATAGCTCCTGATCAATTAAATTACAAGCTCCACAATTTGAATAGTTGAAATGTATCTTCCCCCTTCAAAACAAATCAAATCAAGACAATTCCATGCCCCAAACACTATATTTAATATAATGTTATGTTTGGGGTACCAAGCACTTGGGTGTCAAGAAAAACAAATGTAAAACTGAACACTCAGCCTTAGTTTTGCCTCTTTTTGTTTATGACTTAAAATATAGTCTGTCTTTAATTATATATTTGTCAAATAATGCCATATATAATATAATGCCATACAATTACATAAACTTATGTTTACATAGTTAAGCACTCAAAAGATAGAAAATGAAAAGTGAGGTTGAACATAGCCTTTCGTAACACGATCACATACTGTTTCTCGGATTATATTATCTTTTTCTACAAGTTAGCATCTATGTTGCAGCTTGTATATACTTTTTTATAATGGATGCAGTAGATTCACAAATGTCACAATGATATTCTTATTATCTATGGATGTTATATTTGTATTCTTCTCTTTAAAGTATGATATATTTCAGCACTATAGTAGAAAACGAAATTAGATAGAAATACATAATGTGCTTTATATTCTTGACATTAAAATAAATACTGCAAAATAAAGCGTGTTTATCATAAAAATTGTATGTAGCCTTAATTTTGATTTAAATTCTTTGTATGGAATTCTAAATTGCACTATTTAACAAATATAAAGACCATATTTTAAGGCATAAGAACAAGGGAGCAGAGTTTAGGTTGAGCAGCCAACCTTAACTCTGCTTTTTTCCTGATGTTTGAATTCTTGGCTCTTCAACCTTATTGTTGTGTTTACCCTCATATTTGGAATAAAATAGTAGCTTCATGATCTAAATGTTTGTTTTGAACTTATTTTATTGACAGTTTTGTGGGACTTACCCTTATATAATTTGTCTCTCAGTAAGAGTTTTGTGAGATTTGATCAGAGAAAAGTAGACTCCTTTATATGCTGCTGTATAGAGTTCAATCAAAAGCTATTAAAAAGTCCATCTTGGGCATCTGGTATTGTTATTGTACAGTGTTGGGTTTTTTTTTTTAAGACAACCATTAGTTATTTCCTTCAATTGTAGCACAGTATTTTTTTAAATGAGATTTTATTGGTGGGAGGAAATTTATAACCCAGCACAGCCGATTTATATTTAACATCAGTTGACATTTACTGTAAAATTCTAACTATTGGCACAAAATATCAGTCTGGTTTCTGCCATTTCTGTGGGAAAATGGCTCCTAGCTTGTTCCAGTGTGTTCTAGTTTCACCATCCTGCTGGAGATGAGTTACAAACAGCTGGAGTGCTATGTTCATACATATGTAGCAGCAAAGCTATCTGCTTAAGAATCTCTTTTAAGAAATATTTTTTGTATGGACGTAATCAACAAAGCGGATGAAGTGGAAGAATTTCTGTTAAACCAAAAAAACACCAATCACAAAACATGGAGCAAATCCTTCTCTTTTTACTCAGGCAAAAGTCTGCTTGACTTAGGTGCCAGAAGATGGTCACAACATAAAAACCTAAACAGACGGAATGAGAGCTTTGCTTTAGAAAGGACATCATCAATTTCCTCTTTGCTTTGATTTCTATAGCGCCAACCTCAAGATTTTTTGGACACTTTTTAAAATGTAAAATGACCATTATTCATACAAACTGAAGTGATGTATTCATGTTGTTCACGGTCTTAGGAAATTCCCATCATTACATCACTGGCCAAACAACAGCAAAAATGAATAAAAATCAGCCCAATTAAACCCAAATCAAACTGACTGTCTTCCTACCCAAATCAAACCCACTCCTTTCCCAAAGGCCTGAAAAAATAGCATGCCTGGAAAGTTAACAAATCTGGCCTTTGTGGTGGAGCAAATTCCAAAGTCACTTAGGCCATGTCTGCACTTACAAACTTACAGTGGCACAGTTGTATTGGTACAGTTGTTGTTATGATTGTATTTATTTTTATTGCAGTGGCACCTACAACGTGGAAAGCACTGTGCACACGAAGGAAAACATAGTCCCTGTTCCAAAGATCTTACAATCTACACAAGCAATATACAAAGGGCTATGTTGATACAATAAAAATAAATATACTTTAATAAAAAACAATTATCCACTATCCCTAACTTCCCCCTCTACTCAGCTATTATTGGCTGGCTAGTTTCTTGCAAGTGTCACAGAAGAGGCATAGTTGCCAAGTTTTGTGAAGTACTATGTGACATTTTATGCTGATTTTTAATTAGCTTATTTGCAGATAATTTGAATTTTAGCTTTAAAAAACTGTATGGATTTAATTTACTTAAATATTCTCCATTTCTGGAGGGCCCTGAGCAGTGTGTTGACATTAATCCACCAAACAGAACCCATGCTAGGTGTAGGAACCCTTTTCTCAATCTAAAACGTATTACATTCTTGTCCCACTGGATAGCTTCTAAGTGTGGCCAAAAAACACTGAATTGTGAAAATTTGTTACCACACCTTGCCCCCCCCTCCACTTATAAAATGTGCTTATCTGAAAACGTCTACAGAATCAAATCCTGCTAGCTATCATAAGGCCAAACCCCTGTTGAAATCAGTGGGTGATTTGCCTGAGTAAGGGCTGCAGGATTTGATCCTAAGCCTATATACAAAATAAACCCCATTAAGAATCTCATTAACTATACTGTAAACTCTCTGGGGCAGTGTATCAGGGCATATAGGCCTATTAAGGCCAGAGGGGGAGGTCTTGGTGGCAGGCTACCCTGCTCAGGAGTTCTGGGGCAGACAGAGAACCAGGGAACAACAGTGACAGACACTGAGAGACAGGGCTGAAGTGTTCCATTGACTTCAGTGGGAGCTGGATTGCACTCAGACCTACTTCCACAGCCTTAGTATTAATCCTAATTTTATTCATAGAAAGTTTTCAAAGTCTATTCTTACTGTATTTTTGGTAATGACTCATAGCCTTGATCAGGGATCAGAGCCCATTATGTTAAGGGCTGGGTAGCCCTGACTTACAAACACAGTCCCTGCCTCAAAAAGTAAATGGTCTTGATTTATGAGACGATGCAACAGATGGATGAAACCAACATATGGGGGAAGGAGTTAACAGTGATGAGCAGGAGTTAACGAACAAGTTGCTTATGGAAAGCAGTAGCCACAGATCACCACCTGCCCAGCCATGGTCAGCTGGGTATTACAACGGAAGTGAGTTATGGAGGGATTTGAAGGAGGATAATGTAATATAGCGTGCATGAAGGGATATTAAATCGTAGAAGACACACACCAATATGAATCAAGGCTTGAGAGTGTTTCAGTACATTGCTTGGGAGTGTGGGAAATGATTTCAAGATGGTCCTGCAATAAAAACATTGCTTGTTTGATTGTGTGTGTATACATGTGTTTATTTATAGTTCAATTTTATATCAACTCTACACCAAAGAGCTCTCATCCAAACCTGTGTGTTTCTGTCTGTCTGTATTACATGCGTGATTACACTGAAATGCACATGCCACAGACATACACATAACAGGACAAATTCACCGCAGGTTCAGTAATTCGACCCAGTCAGTTATTTGAAAAAATCCCTCAGTAAACACAACTCTGAATATTGTTAGGAAAGATAAAATATTTGGTTCATCTAGCTAAATTAAAAAGAATTAAATGTTATTTTAAAGTTCAACCATTTTCTGATAAATTAGTGCTATCTGGTTCTGATTTTGATTTGTTTGGATTATTTTCCAGGCAGAAATTTTAACAGGCATCCCCGTGGGCGGCCCTGAAGATGCTGGGAAGGTGGGGCTCATGCTATTAGAAAGAGGCTGCAAACTAGTAATTGTTACTCTGGGAGCAGAAGGCTGTGTGATGATATCAGTGGACGAGCCTATTCCAAAGCATGTTCCTGCTGGGAAGGTCAGGGCTGTGGACACTACGGTATGTTTTTGTGGTTTAACTGTCTTGCCTTGGAAAAGACTACTTAAGCACTAAAGCATAGCAGTGAGTAATCAGTCAAATCCCTGGGCACTAGCACAAAGGCTAATTTATTATGTGAAACTGATACGTTGCTTCCAGCCTGTTATATATCAAATGCCAGTTCACTCAAGTTTTATAGGCTGTGCTGTAGATATGCTAAAGTTATTGTATACACTGATGATATCTTCATTTTCCTTTATCACTGGAGTTGGTACATTTCTCTCTCACTCTGTCCATTACGGATGAAGCCCGTAGCATCAGCAGCCCTATAGTTGTCACCTTTGCACAGTCATCTAATTCATCATCTCCAGAGCTGAAATGACTCTGCAGTTAGTGCAATGGGAGAAAGGAGAGACCCAGGAATTCTGCCATTCAAGAAATGCATGAGGGTCTCTTTCTGCACAAGTCTGAACTACTCCCACAAAGTCCCTTAGTTAGTCCAGCATAAGTTGCATCGGGTGCTCAACTTCCATAGAACAAAGTGAAAAGGCACAAATAATATGTTGTGACCAATCATTTTGTGATAGGTAAGGATTAAAAGGTCAGTGACCAGGTATCCTTTATAATTTTTAGAGTATTTCCCCGCCCTTCCTACTCAAAATGAAATGTAGAATCCCCTACCTTAACAGAACATTAGGACTGCTAATTGAACCACAAATGAAAAGCAACAGTTAAAGTTCTCATAGCAAAATTATATTGCCACATTGTGTATACTAGGACATTTTGTGCTCAGTTACATCTGATATAAATCCAAACTATATCTGTTGACGTTACTGAGAGCGGAATTTGCCTCACTGTATGTACTAACTATACGTTTAACTGATGGATGTAATAGAATACTATTACATATGTTCTGCCACAATAATCCATTATAGAAACATTTGGAGAGTTGACCATCTGGTGCCTCACATATCTGAACTGTATTTATATAAAAACTAGATCTTATTATTGTGGTTTTATCAGTAGATTTCAAAGTGCTTTACAACGGAAGTAAATATCATTATCCCCATTTTAGATGGGGAAACTGAGGCATGGAGCGGTGAAGTGACTTAGCCAGGGTCATTCAGCAGGCCAGTGGCAGAGCTGGGAATAAAATCCACTTCACTCGAAGCAGAGGATCATTATGACTAGATTTGCATTGTGATTTATTGATACAATATGGGACTTTATGCTTCAAATTTTAGTTGCATTATATTCAAATTAACTATAAGCAGATTCTATTGTATATGTCAGATTCTTCTCCCTTTTCCCCTGGCTAAGAAGTCACCTGAAGCCAACACTAATGATTGGAATATCCTGAGGCTTTTATGATGACTCAAATCATTATTCTTATTGGAGACAACTTTGTGTTGCAGATAAGCCATAGACCAGGAATTAAGAGACTGACGTTCTATTCCTGACTGTGCCATTGAGTTTCTGTATGATTTTGGGCAAATCATTTAACCTTTCTGTGCCCCAGGTCCTGTTGTAACAGTGTCTTTTCACAACACAGCACACAAAAGTGAAGAAGAAATGTGTGAATTCCCTCTTCAAAAGAAGCCCGAAATTACTGCCAGATCAGCTAATGTTTGATATCTAAAGTGATTTGCTGCTGATGGGATAATATAGCAATATTGAAACCACATACTGTGGCTGAGAAGTGCCTTTTATCTTGCTTGGCAGTTCAGAACATCATGACTTGACAATATTAACTGTGGAACCTCTAATGCAGACAAAGTGTTGGTGGCCCTGTGTTTTAAGTGCCACAATACTGCCAACCCTAAGTGTTCAAAAATGACATAAGCTTAAAATCATGAGATTTTTTGGGGGAAAAAAACCCACCTGTTAGTTTCTTTTTATTTGCCTTTCGGTTTCTGAGCCTTTAGTAGGGTGCACTCAAGTCACAGATTTGCAAGTTTTACTCTGCAGCCATGAGAGTTAGAAAAAAAATTAAATGAAAGCTGACATTCTAATGCAATCTCTTGATTCCAGCAAATGGGGCTTTAAGCAGCGCACCAAATATTGTGAGATTCCTGATAAAACCACGAGAATTGGCAACACTGGTACCAAACCAGGTCCTATAAGCCTGCTGTGACCTGTAAGTGTGGGCTGCTGCCTGCAGCTGTATCTACAGTAACACGGCCATCATTACTGCCACCAGTTCAGCACCACCAGTGGTAGCAATGGTGAAAAATGTTGCCAATCTTTGTGTAGACCCAGAAAAATGTGTGTGGAACTTAACAGAGTCCTCCCAGTGGTATGGACAGGTCTCCCCACCCCATTAGCAAATCTCATCAGACACGCTAAGGACCAAGCAGACCATAGAATCTGAACTCTCCTCTCAGTCCTAGAAATAGTCCCTCTAGGTCAGGATTGAAGCCCATCTGCAGAACAATGGGAAAAGCTTGCACCACTGCCATACCGGCAGTGTGGATAAATAGGCGTATCAGACTTCAGGCCTGAGAATCCAACATTTTTCACCCACACTTTATAAAGAAAAAAATAACTCTGTGGAATTTCTTTGTCCCTAATTACCTTAGTGAGGGCTTTACTAATGTGTCTGATACATCCCATATCTGCTAGCAGATCTCTCCATAGACAGTATAATATATTTAGTGCACCAATAGTGATTTAGAAGGAAGTTTTGCAAGACGGGGTGTTGTAAGACCCAAATGTCTGTTTCTCCGGCTACCGTGACATACTGTAACAAATCTCTATTGGAATGAATTGGCTTTCTTTTCAGTTTACTTGTTCTTGCTAACTTTGTATATAGCTGAATTTCAGGAACGCAGTATTAGGTGACCATCCAAAAGTAATATCCAGTTTTTGTGTTTTGAAAATGAAATAAAAATATATACAGCCAAGCCATTTAATATTGGCTACTGAGCACACACGCTAAGGGATTTTAGTTCAGGTGTTCTCAAGTGAGATTAATTTATGGGATAACATAACACGCTCCAGAGGATCAATTATGTCTATTTAAAACTACATCTATGGATTCTCCTTACCTATTTTTAGAGGAAGCTATTTTTCACCTTACTTGAAATGACATTAAATACACAGCACTATATTGAAACAGCTTTAAAAGATAATGATCTTCCATTTATATAGCATTTTTATTCAGATGCAGGGCTGGCTCCAGGCACCAGCCGAGCAAGCTGGTGCTTGGGGCGGCAGATTGAACGAGGCGACATTCCGCCCAATCCTAGGGTGGCACGGCCGCTTTTTTCAGCTCTGTTTTTTTTTTTTTTTCCGCTCCGGCCGCCCTGTAGGGGGCGGCGGCGCGGAGGACGGGAGTGCCCTGCAGCAAGCCCGGCAGGGCAGTCCTCGTCCTTCCCTCCCCGCCGACCAGAGTGGAGCCCTCCCAGCAGGAGGCGGCGTGGCGGGAGGGGCCGCGTGGCAGCGCCCCGCTGTAGCCCTGGCCGCCCCCCTTCCCCCTTTGCCGCTCTGGCCACCCCGTTTTTTGTTTTTTTTTTGCTTGGGGCGACCAAAAAGCCAGAGCTGGCCCTGTTCAGATGGGCACCAGAACACTTCATAAGAGTTACTAAAATTGTACAAACCTTTACATAGAAATAGATAACACATAACGTGTATTGTGTGTATATCTACATTATGTCTCATACTACCAACTACTGAAATGCAGTCCATCTGAGGTGGGATGCAACAGTACACAGTAGCACTATGTAACAGTGTAGAACAAGAACTGATAAGTATCAGGCCAAATCTAGAAGTGATGTAATTGGAATGTATCATTATGCTGAGCAACTTATTTTCTGAAAGCTAGACTGACCATGGTTATGATGATAGCCGCTGCCAGTCCTAGTGGTAGGAACATAAAAAGTCGTCCAAGCTGGAAGGTTAGTGTGGCACAAGTGGGCCACAACTTCATCTGCACTGGGGAGTGTATGGCATCTGCTAGTGTATAGCAACAGCAACAAAAAAGTCTCCCACTCTCCCCATCACTTTATCTTTTTAAACCTTCCTTATATTATCTCCTCCACAGTAATCCTGCCCTTTTCCTCTTTGATGCCCATCCAGTAAAGTGTAATTTACAGAACCATTTGCATCACCTCATTATATTCCATTGAGACCACCAAGGTATATAGGTCAGGAGGATATAATTATCCAAGCTGGAATATGGCCAGAACTGGGACTACTACCCTTCCTCTTTGTGAAAAGCATCATAGTATCTTTTAGGGCTGCATTTTTAGTAACCTCCGTTTGACTTCTAAATTTGCACTTCGCAATTTTCTGTGCACAAAACTCCACATTCAGGCACCTAGAATCAGGTAGTTAGATGTCTGTGTCCCTCACTTACACATCCAAATACTGTGTGTGCTTACAAATGGGGTGGGTTTGTGCACACACAATATTTACTGGCAAACTTTTAGCCATTTTTCAAAAATGTGCCCATAATAATCACAAGAAGTCAAAGGTGTCTGTTTCATGTCATGCAAAACACAGCATCTCTAGCACCATGGTGCCCTTCTGAGAGCAGCTACTAAATTTCTAGTACCACTTCCTGTACTACCAAGGCTTTCCATAGAGATCTCGCATGTCCCTTCTGAGTACTGACCAAACTCAACCCTGTTTTGAAATAAGAGCTGTGGAGATCACAGGTTGAGGTGACGTGTGCTCATAAACAGGGAATTCACTTACGAGCTAGGATACAATTCCGATTTTTTCCCTGCTCAGTTATGCTTACTACTTGCAATAGGTATATAACAGAGGTAGGCAACCTATGGCACACGTGCCGAAGGCGGCACGAGCTGATTTTCAGTGGCACTCACACTACCTGGGTCCTGGCCACCGGTCCGGGGGACTCTGCATTTTAATTTAATTTTAAATGAAGCTTCTTAAACATTTTTAAAACCTTATTTACTTTACATACAACAATAGTTTAGTTATATATTATAGACTTCTAGAAAGAGACCTTCTAAAAACGTTAAAATGTATTACTGGCACGCGAAACCTTAAATTAG